ATCTCTACATTTCACCTTTGACTGTATAACCTATCCATATTCCAACAGTGTGTGTGTGTTCTTTGCCTTCAAGTTGCTTCTGACTTACGGTGACCCTAAGGTGAGCCAATCTTGAGTTTTCTTGACAAGTTTCTTCAGAGGGGGTTTGCCATTGCCATCCTCTGAGGTTGAGAGAGTATAACTTGCCCAAGGTCACACAGTGGGTTTACATGGTCAATCTGGAATTCGAATCCTAGTCTCCAGAGTCATAGTCCAATGCTCAAACCACTACACCATGCTGGCTCCTGCCACCCCATGTACAGAGTTCCAAAGACTAGGAGCAGCCACCACGAAAGCCCTCTCCCATGTTCCCACCAAATGTGCCTAGGAAGATGGTGGGACTGAAAGAAGGGGCTCTTCTGAAGATCTTAGAGCTCAGTCTTATATGACAATTCAATTTTTGATCCTGTAAATTTTATCAGGCAAACTTCAACAGCATCAAAGAATTAACTGCAAAATAATAATAAAAAAATGATGGGGGTCATAACTCTGGCAGAGCTTTGAAGAAAATCCCAGATTCAGTTCCTAGCATCTCCATTTACCTTTGAATGGTTGCTGTAAGAAAGGCTGCTGTGTGAGACCTTGGGAATTGATATTCATCAGGAAACTAGATAGGTTGGTGGTCTGACACTATATAAGGTAGTTTCACATGTTTGTGGCATTTTAGAAGGTAATCCAGTATGACACAGTGGTTTGAGTGTTGGACTATATGATTCTGGAGACCAGGATTCGATTCCTTGCTTGGCCATGAAGCCCACTGGGTGACCTTGAGCAAGTCACATGCTCTCAGCCTCAAGGAAAGAAAATGACAAACCTCCTCTGAACAAATCGTGCCAAGAAAAGTCCATGATAGGTTCACCTTATGTTCCCCATGAGCTAGAAAATGACTTGAAGGCACACAACAGCAGCTCTAAAATTATCCAGCCCCATCTGTATCTCAGGTTTCTAGAAACTGATAGTCTACACAATTTCAACTGCCAGAACAGGGCTGGAAACCTATGGCCTTTCAGATGATAGATTGCAGTTCACATCAGTCCCATTAGGCTGTCCAGTGGTAAGAAATGATGGGAGTAGTAGTCCATCAATGTCACTCTGGAGGGAGCACAGTTCCCCAGCCATATGCTAACATATAGGATTTATGATGTATCATTTCTCACCCCAACCATTCAAAGGTAAATAGAGATGCCAGGAAATGAAGCTAGGATGTTCTTCAAAACTCTGATAAAAAGTTATGATTTCTGTTCCTTTTTTAAATTTCACAATTAATTCTTTGTTCCTGTAAGCGTTTGTTTAATAAAATTGATAGCATCATAAAGAAATAAAATGTGTAACAGATGGATTGTTATGTGAGACAATGGAAGGTAGAAATTTCTGCAGGTAGGCTGTTACTTGAAACAACAACTGAATTACCATAGTAGTGGCACAAATTGATGCTTCCTGTCATGCTGGATGCTTAGAGCCTAAGGTTTGTGTGGGCAAAGTTCAGTCCCCAACTTGTTTTCATGGCCTTTGACCCTTCCAAAGTTATTCAGTTGCCCTTTCTGGAGCCCAAACAGCTGGAGCCCAACAGCAGCAATTTAAATTTTAAATAAGTTGCAGAGCCTTCCTGCATTGATTTAAATAACAACAGCAACAACATGTAGAGATGTCTTGTAGCACCCTTAAGACTAACTGAAAGAAAGAAATTGGCAGCATGAGCTTTTGTGACTTTTCTACTTCTTCAGATGCATTTGGTGGAGTGGAGGCCAGGCACAGACATATATATGTGAGGATGTCAATTCAAATTACAAATCCTTTGTGTATGGAAATAGTCTGATTCTACAGACTAACATGGCTATATCTTTGAATAATAATAATAATAATAATAATAATAATAATAATAATAATAATACCACCACCACCCATGTTTCAAAGCCAGAAGTAGACTTCTGGCTACTTTGTTGTTTGGGGAGTAGAGTTTTGGCAGTCCATGCAGCCTTCAGAAGGTTCCAGGGCAGAAAACTGACCTACACTGCAGTTGGTTTAATGCTTTCTTTCTTCCATTTTGTAGGTGTTCCTTTCCCCAAGAATTTCCAGCAGGTCTGCACAAAGATCCTCACACGCCTCTTCAGAGTCTTTGTCCATGTCTATATCCATCATTTCGACAGCATCATCAGCATGGGTGCAGAAGCTCATGTCAACACCTGCTACAAGCACTTTTACTACTTCATCAGTGAGTTTAGTTTGGTTGACCAAAGGGAATTGGAGCCACTGGTAAGGACACAAATACTGTTATGTCTTCCTTTTCTTCTGAGCAGCAAGTTGCTATTGGATGAAAGGACACTGGAAATGTTAACATGAACATCTCCAACCAGTGCAACTTACTACTCCCCATTTTCTTGTTTTTCTTTCTAAATTTAAGTTGCAAATAGCTCTGTGTTTTTTTTCCTAGTTCTTCCACTCTCAGATGGTGGCAGGTGACAGCAAGCTATTGAAGGTCAGAGCTCTGTACTCAGGGGACCTCTGCTCCTTACTAGCCTGCATCATTCAGGTGTAGTGGAGGCTGCTTTCTCGTCACCAGTGTTGAAGCAAATTTCAACTTCCAGTCCAGTCACCTTTTTTTTTAAAAAAAAAAAAAACCAATAGCATGGGAGGAGCACCATCTGTAGTTCTTCATTGTCTTGGAACAGCTGTGGGAGTTATGAATAAAAAAGGAAGTAGGCTCATTTGGGTAAACATGCTCACTTTTCCATCAGAAGTGCTGATTCAGAGGATAGTAGGGCAGGCAAACCAGCAGCCTGAACCTACACAGCAACAACCACCAACAATGATGATCACATTCTGAGATTGGTACAAGGTATCTCTTGTGCCTTCAAGTCATTTCTGACTCATGGTGATCCTAAGACAATTCTATCGAAAAAAATTCTTGACAGAATTTGTTCAGAGGAGGTTTGCACTTGCCTTCCTTTGAAGCTGAGAGAATGTGACTTGCCTAAGGTCACCCAGTGGGTTTTCCTGGCTAAGCAGAGATTCAAACCCTGGTCTCCAGAGTCATAACCCAACACTGAAACCACTACACCACATTGGCTCCCTAAAGTATCTCAACATCCAAATTTATCTGAGCTGTTAAGATAGATTTTTTCTTTTTCTTGTTTCATTCCAGTATTACCCATCCTGGCAATGTATTACATAGCACAACTGATAAGTTTACCAACACTTCATAGTTGTTGTATATCTTCACATTGTAACCCACATATGGTCACTTTAGGGCAAAGCTATCACACGGTTTTAGAAAAAGATGTATTTAGAGAGGGGGGTTGCCATTGCTTTCCTTTGAGGCTGGGAGTGTGTGATTTGCCCTAGGACACTGAGGGGTTATCTCCAAGGGCCAAAAGACTGGGTTCTCCACAGCCTCGTGTCTAGATTAGATGAAGCAGG